CCACTGCTCCCCTCAGCAGTGTATTTCCGTCAATCTGCCTGTTCTGTTCCCCACTCTGTCTCTGGTGAATCCTCTCACCCCCCCCCCAACACACCTCTGGCCTGTACCCCAGTTTTTGTATGCATAAATAAATAAATATTTTTTAAAAAAAGGGCGGATGGATATATGGATATGGAGTGCAGTACAGAGAGCTGAGTCAGCCGCACTGATGCGAGTATAATAAGGAAGCGGCCCAAAGCGAGAGACAAAACACTCAAGGAAAGCAGGAAGAAAAGACAAGAGAGGATGGAGGGTTTCCGTTATCATGCAAGCGATGAGAGAGGCTTAACCATGTTCAGAGCCTATGGCAACAGCTATGAAAAGGAGGAGCAAGAAGCACAGAAAAGAAATGGAAGAATCAATTATGCAAACTTACAGAAAGGACAGGAGCAAAAGGAACCAAGCAATAGGAGGAGCTAGCCTACGACGGGAGAACAGAACGTCAGCCTCTGAGATCAAAAATAAAAAGGAAATGAGATTGGAGCAAATGAAGGTACATGTGTGGACAAGGTGCTGACATCCTTACAGTATTAAATGTTCCAGAAGTCAGAGGGTGTTAAGTATTGAACTGTGTCCATCAAAAATTCCTTTGTTGAAGACTTACTCACCAATACCTCCAAATGTGATCTAATTTGGCAGCAGAGTCATTGCAGATGGAATTAAATTAAAATGAGGTAATACTAGAGTAGGGTAAGTCCCTAATGTAATATGATTGATCTCTTTATTAAAAGAGAGGAATCTGGATAAACCATTCATTAAGGGAAGATGACGTGAAGACACACAAGGAGAGGATGGCTATCCACAAGCTAAGAAAAGAGGTCTGGAACAGATTCTTCCTTCACAGCCCTCAGAAGAAACCAGACTTCCAGTCTCAGACTTTCAGTCTCCAGAACTGTGAGGCATTCCATTTCTCTAGTTTAAGTCAACCAGTTGATGGTATTTTGCCATGGTAACTATAGCACACTAATACAGAAGGAAAGTCATCTACTGAAGAAGAAAGGGTGGAGAAGGGTGGTGAGAAAGTTTGAAGGGAGTGGAGAGGTTTCAGCAGGAAACAGGCCAGCCACACAGTGTAACACTGTACACAGTTGCCTGAGGTTCCAGCAAAGGCTAGAGATGATAAATTTATTTATAGAGTGATTTCCTCAAGCAGTTCTTGGCAGCCACTGGGTAAGAAAGGAAAAAATGCCAGGTCAAAATCGAGGGCTGGCAGAGTAGATTACAAACCAAATACAAAGGGGTAAGGCCATTGAGGATATTGGCCAGGGAGTGATGTACAGGAGTGAACAGAGAAGGAAACAAAGGAGGGCTGATGGGTCATAGGCTGGAAGAATTAGATACAGCAGGTGGAGGAATGGGGGTTAAGACACAACCTATGAAGCTGTCCGCAGCCACTGCAGCATGAGTTCAATCCCCCGCCAGGGAGCTACCCACATGGTGCAGCAGACCTCTCCTGACTCACCTGCTGCTACCCTCAGCAGTGTATTTCAGTTGATCCACCTGTCTATTCCCTACTCTGTCTCTGGTGAATCCTCTCACCCCACCACACTTCTGGGCTGTGCCCCAGTTCTTGTATGTATAAACAGATAAATCTTTAAAACAAACAGAGTTCCTGAAAATAATTCCAGGCTGGTTTTCAAAATTAGCAGTCATGGAACCTCAGCTTTAGCAATAAATAAGCCTTTCAAATAGATCTATATTCTTTTTCTCCTTCCTTCTAGGTCAAACACTTACATATACTGTAGGGAATTTTCCATAGGAATCAGGGAGTAGCAACTACACTCTAGCTCCAGGCACTCCTTGAGATAAGGAGCCCTCCAGCTCAAAAATACTAAGTAAGGAGAGAGTTGCCACACCTCACCTCAGTGCTTACCTAAGAAGCTGGCTCTGACCCCAGGTTTCAAGACTAAGATGAATTCCAATGGACCTAGGCGCCCCCCAACTCCCGGAGAGGAGAAATGGAAAAAGGCCAGGAGTTCAAGAAAACTTCTACTACTATAACCTGAAGATAATCAGAGCTCAGTTATTTACTGTTCACATAATCACAGATCTGGAACTCTTTTCTGGTCAAACTATAACATAGTGCTGATTTTTATTCAGTAGTCCAGCTTACATTTAGAGATGAAAGCAACTTGATGGATCATAGTCCAACTGATTGATATAGCAAGTGAGAAAACTGAACCCTGGGTAAATTAAATGATTTATCCAAATTGCTAGGAAGTGGAAAATGAGAACCCACATGCTTTGTCCCTTGGTTCAAATACTCCTTTTCCTTAACTGCCAGATAGTTACTCATAAGGTATTTACTAGATGGAATGCTACTCACTCATAAAAAGACATGAAATCTTGCCATTTGTTACAACATAGACAGAACTGGAGGGGATTGTGCTAAATGAAATGTCAGGACAAAGACAAAGGAACATACAAAACTAAACCAAAACCAATCCTAGAATTAAGGCTTATGGGGGGGGGGGCATGGGGATTTAAAGGGAAGAAAGGGCCCAATGGATGATAGTGGAGGATTATGAGTGCTTTGGGGCTGGGTGTGGTGTGGTGTGGTAACAAACATCTGAAAAGGTGTGGACCTATACTCCTAAATCATACACAGTGTTGTAAACCATGTCACCGCAAAAAAAAAAAAAAAAGAAAAGAAAAAAAATTACAGGAAAAAAAGATATTTATTGGCTATTAACCATGTGCAAGACATTCAAGGAATTAAGAAGGTGAACACAGTCATGCTCTCAAAGAATCTAAAATATGGTTGGTCTCAGACAATATTTTCAGTTTTTAGTATGTAAATCATCACATGATGCTTTGTGTGGAATTTTAGAAGACTATCTAAACATAACCCTCCTCAGAGCCCTAATTCTTAATTTGAAGGCAAACCCTTCCATCTTCTATGTATTGTTAAGTCTATTTTCATAAAAGACACGGACCGAATAATTCAATTGCCCTAGAAAGGGTAGTTGAGTTAAGGTTTATAGGTCTTCACTACTGCTGTCTCACAGGCTTCTGGCCCTGGGTCCACCCCTGATTAACTGGACATTACCTGCCCTCTCTGGACCTCAATTTCATCTGTGAAATGATGAAAGGTCACATGATTCCCAGTGTTCTTTCAGGTATAACATTCTCTGATTTATTGATTTATCTCATGGCACAGAGATAGAAAAACACTTTGCAAAATTCAGATCTTTGACAATGCAGAGGTTTGGTGGTTAAGAAAGGGCAGATAATTAGTTATAAGCCAGACATATATACATCCTTAACTTTCATCTAGGCCATGACCTCAGATTTTTTTTTGCAAGCTCATGTTGCTCCCACATGACAGAATAACATACAATCATTAGCAATGATATTTAAAGAAGCTTTTTTAACTCCTAATGATCATTAGGATTCATCTGTGGAAACATGGAAAAACATGTTGTAGATTAGAAGAAAAACACTGGACATAATATACGGGCTAGAGTTTGGTTGCTTGATTTTTTTTAAACACAGGTAAAGAAGCAAGAAGTACATTCAACGGTGGTTGTAGTTGGATAATAGGATTTGGGAACTTTTTTCTCTTTTCCTCATTTTTCTTTCTTATGTGAGTTGAAATTTCATCCATAATTAGAGGGAGATTGTTCTTATAAAGAGAGCAAAGGTGTCCAATATTCTCACATTGATTTCTTCTGAAAAGAAAATACTCTCCTACAAACATCTCAGTCCACACTGCAGAAATTCCAGAAATACAGGTTTAGAAAACATCATTATTGCCTACTACAGATGAGAAAGATTCCTCTATTGCTTTGGGTCTAGAATAACTGAGTTTTATAGCATGTCTCAGGAATGCTGGCAGAGGAAGTGCTTTGGAGTGGCGGGACACAAAGCCTTGTAGAGTTGGGCCCATAGCAAAACAGAACAGGTGCAGAAGACGAAGCAGCAGACCGTGAGAGCCAAATGACGTGGCCCCCTCCAGAAATCCCGGTCTGGAGCAGGCTGTCCCTGAGTGGTGCTGCCCTGTACCACAGCCAGCCCCACGGCTGAGGGGACTTTCCATGAGCACAAATGTGCTTTCCCACAGTAGAGGGAGGTGAGGCAGCATATTTCATGGAATCTACAACTGTTAAAACTAATCCAGCAAGAGCAACCAAACGAATCTATGCTTTATGCTTTCATTAGACTACATTAACGGGCATGTGTAGATACATCTGTGTTCACATATAAACACAGTACACATACACATATACACTGTGTACACACACGTGGCCCAGTTTACAACACAGATCAATTGCTGTGCCTTTCTGCAGTGACGATGAAACATTTCACCCTACAACATCCTAGAGAACAAGTTATAAACACTTCATTTCCTTGCTGATGCCCACTGATACTACAAAAAAAACCCAGGAAAAAAAAAAACAATTTAAAAATCAGAATACTATTATGTACATATAAACTCCTCTGCCATACTTGAAAGGGCCTTTTTTTCCCTATTTGGTGACAAGTAGATAGAGACAGATCTGATAGACAAAGAATAGGAAAAGTAGAACGGGAAAAGTCAGCTCCTCCTTTGGGGATCTCACAGACAATAAGTGGCGTCCACATGGCATCACACTCTGATTCAGAGGAGGCTGCAAGGGAGCCTGGTGCCCAACTTACCAGCAGCTCCAGACTTGCCCTAAGCGCGTACATCATTCGGGGCTTTGCCAGCACCACCACCATGGAGAAGGCAAAAGACAAAGGCCTGCATGTGCCTTTCATGGTGTTTGGTTTTTTGTAGTTTAAAAAGACATTTCTGCTGATTGCTCCTAAAATTCACTTGAATGATTATTAAAATTGGGAAACAATATAACATAACTAAATAAAACTCTCTTGGTTTTTTTGAAGACTTTTTTCTGTGTCTAAGTGCGAAATTGACACCTATTAAATTTACCTGGCAGTAACTAAATACATTTAACATTAGATAATGAAATTTAACCTACCTCATCAAAGGTGGTGTCATCTTTCTTCAAAGCTATAAAATAAAAAGAGAAAGGAAATAGTTATTGTGAAACATCCCAGACAAAGTAAGTTCTAGAAAATAAAAAATAAAACATAAAGGGGTAACGGGTGCTTTCATTTCAAAAAGTAAAACTGTAACCTAACCTGAAAAACAATATTGTGACACAAATACAAAAGCTGCAAATGGGAAAAAGAACTGCACAGCATGCATGCATCCTTGGGAAACATTTTTCATAAATATGTAAATGGAACTATCCTCCCAAGGATGGAAAAGAAGTATGCCTATCTTCCTTGTCTTTTCTTTACGAGGAAAATGTTTTCATGAAAGTCACAAAGAAATCTTAAATTTTCCTTTAACCTTCTGGTTTCTGAGCATATACCATCAGGCATGATTAGGGACCTGCCAAAATAATTGTTAGGATGAGCCCTGCTCTGCATGGTGCCCAGAATGAGATCTTCATGCTGAAAGAAGTTGAAGCATGGTGAGGAAACACCAGCTTGTAAGATAAGCACTGCAGAGGCATTATTCAGCCATTTCAGCACCATAAATTTTCTAACTAAGTATCACCAAAGGAAACAATGCATTCAGAATATTTCAGAGGCACTAGCAGGTAAATATTATTTTAAATACACATGGCTTCAGAACTGCAGTTTTAGCACTCTGAGCACTAGGAAACATCTTGTTCCTTTAATCCTAAAGTTATTTTGACTGTTTCACAAATACACAAGGCAGCTAATTTACCTGAAACCACTAGCAGAAAACACATTTCAAACTTACAGAATTGTGCAGAGGTGTCTACTGGGCTACCCAGGATAGTTCTATTTGAATAAAAACACTTCAGTAGCTCTTACTTGGAAAGCTATGTTCTGACAGAAGCAATAGAAAGTAAATTATAATTTTGGCAATTAAGCTCATAGAGAAGTCATGTGCCTAAACAGAAGTGATCATAACAAAGTTTATATAGTGCAGTAATTCTGAAAAGGTTATTTTCTCTGTTATACAATAAATTGTCTTTTTAAAATGTCAGGGAAAAGCAAATCAAAACCCCAATGAGATACCACCTCACACCCGTGAGAATGGCCCACATCAAAAAGACCAGAAACAAGTGTTGGCAAGGAAGTAGAGACAAAGGAACCCTCCTGCACTGCTGGAGGGAATGCAGACTGGTCCTGCCCCTATGGAAGGTGTGGAGGTTTCTAAACAGACTGAAAATGGATCTGTCATATGACTCTAACTCCACTCCTAGGTATCTTCCTGAAGAACACAAAATCACTAATTCAAAGGGAAACTTGCACGCCCATGTTTACTGTGGCACTATTTACAAAAGCCAAACTGTGGAAACAACCTAAATGCCCCAAAACAGATGAGTGCATCAAGAAGACGTGGTATATATGCACAATGGAATACTACTCAGCTATCAAAAAGATAAATTTGTGCTATTTGCGGCAACATGGATGGCGCTGGAAGGGATTACACTAAGCAAAGTCAGGAGAAAAGCAAAGACCAGTGGTGTTACTTGAATGTGGCATATAAAGAAACCAAACAAAGGGTCTGATAAAATCAAACTAAAAACTAGCCTTTTAGTGACCACAGAACTGAGGCAGCAACTAGGACAGGGGCAAGAACAAAGTGGGGAGAAAGCACAATGGATTATGGTGGTGAACTACGGGTGCTTTGGCGGTGAGTGCACTATGGTGGTCACACCTAGTGGGGAGGCGATCCGATACTTAGAAAATACTAACAACAATGTAAACCAATGGTGCTTTGATTTAAAAAATTAAAACAAAACCTCAAAAAGTGTATGTTTGTGGTGAATTAAGGACAACGAGAATAGGTTGAGGGAAATAACATGTTCTTGAAAGCTTAACACTAAGCCTTCTCCTTTTCTCTAAGAATTCACCTATCATAGATTTCTCTGCCTCCTTTTTTAGAGAACAATTTCCTCTGGCTGAAAAATATAGACCTGCCTTAGTCTCCAACATTTTACCTTATCAATTGCTTGAAAATATGTTATTGACTTACCTTACATTAAATCTAAAATAACTTATTTTGATAGAAAGATAAGATCCTAAATGATTGTCTCCACAGCTATATTTTCACTGGAATACAAAACTTCTCATTTAAAGATGTTCTTTAACATCAGTTAACAATATTACTAGGCCGTATCCCTCCCTCCCTCTCAAGCCAAGGCATATCCTTTAACTAACATACTTGACTAGTGACTCCTTGATATTTGTAAACTATGTAGATATAGACAAGTTGCCCCATCTAAGAAAAAACTTTTTTAAATTAGAAATGATTAGCTCATTGATTGTAAGTACAAAGACAATTACTGTACAACCTCATACCTAGCTTATTTAACACAGGTTAATAGGAAGTATGTTACATGGCTGTCTCACAAGGTGGAAAGCTACAGCAGCAAGCTTATAATTCACAGCCCAAACTTTAAAATGTATTTTCTTTCTTTTAGCCATGACAGAATTTCTGGAAATTTAGTCATGGGTTTTCTAAAGCAAAGCATCCAATAAGAACTACAATTCCTTAGAGAACTGCAAGTATGGACTGAAGACCTTCATGCTGACAGATGAAGAGAACAGAAAATTAGAAGGTCTTCAACAGCCAGATTTGACTGTTTTCTTTTTGCCCCCTAACTTCCCAACCTCTGGATAAAGTCTGTAGGTAGGAAGAAAAGAAGGAAATAGAGAGGGAATTTCAGGATATTTTCTACAATTTAAGCAGCAAAAAGCCATATGTTTTCCCCTACACAATATTCTTAAGCCCAGGGGACAATAACCCATTGAAACCTTTTACTGAACCCCATTGAAACCTTTCATTGCTAGATTGACATCTTACAATTTCTTTTAATATTGAATCTTTGTTCTGAACAGCAGTTAATAATAACAAAGCTCAATTAAAGGTGCCTGCCAAATATTTATCAGGCCACTGATGAATCAACTCTGACCTAAACAGCACACAACATTTCACTAGTGATTATATTCCCTAATTACCATTAATCATTCATGTAAATGTAAGCCCACAATTATAACTGTCTTCAAGGATACTGTGGAATAACAAGCATATTACAGTTTTTTCTGGGCTTACAAAGGAGCTTATATTATTTTTTATTTGAACGAATGCAACATTTATCTCAGCATTTCCAATGTAACTCTAAAAGAAGATCAAAGGAGCATATATTAAACCATTTAAGAATATCAGAAATTCTATTCAGTCCTCTACTCAGACATTACTTCTTCTAGAAAGCTTGCCATGATCTCACCAAGACTAAAGTGGCACCTTTCCTACGTTCTCCAATAGCAAATTATGCTAGTCTTCATGATATTGATTTGTCACTCTATATTGTCAATGTCCATCCATTGATCTGTCTTCTCTTAAAGTCCTTGAGGACAGGGACTGGTAACAATGCTCACAGAATCTGAGTGCCAGCAAAATCTGACAAATAAGAGGTACTCGATAATTATTCCTGAATTAATGAGTTCTACCTCAATAGCAAAAAAAAAAAAGAAAAAAAAAAAAAAAAACATTGCATCTTACATCTTGAGAAACTAAACTTTTGGCACACAAAAACCGTATACTACTCTCTCTTGAAAGGATCATAGATATAAATTCCAGTCCACAGAAGTTAAAACCTTTTGAACCTACATTGAGGGAAGATAGGGTACAATAGTTAAATTTAACTATTAACCTTACATTTCTCTTTTCTGCCAGAATGGATTTATCAAAGACAATTGGATTCTACAATTACACGCTTACAATAGAAGGTAACAAACCCAAAAATTCAGAGTAACCACAGCCCCTTCCTTTTATTCCATTCTCTCATAAACCACATCTTTCAAAGAAATGGTACATACGGAGTTCATCTCAAATACCAGAGCATAAATTTCCTTCCTTTAGGTGATAATGCAAGTAAGTATGAAGAAATGCATTTAAATGAAAATGAAGAAATGTTTGTTTGACCTTAATCTTATACTAGCTATTTTACAGAAAGCATTTCTTCTCCTAGGCTATCACTCAAAAATAAGAAAAGAGGAAATGGGTTTTGATATAAGCTTTTTGAAAGTTACATGCCTATTTGTCTTTGATTATGCCAAGTCAAATAAAAAAAAAAAAAACTGAAACTACTATAACTATAGTAACTCCTAAATAAGAGGCCACATTGACACTATTTAGTAGAAAACCACAAACACTGCTGAAATCAAAGCATGACTTTGAAATTCAATTACACCCATTTTACAAAAGAACCAGAGCAATATTAGAATCATTCCTTGGTAGATATGTTAGAGCACTAATGCTTAAAAGTCAATGTGCTTTATTAAACCTTTAATAATTTCAGGCCAGTTAGTATTTCAGGTGTGCAATGACAAATTTGGCATAATTATTCATGTGTGAATAAATGAAACATTAGCTTTGTCACTTCTGTACAGTCAGAAACATTATTAATAAACATTGGTTGGCTTATCCTATACTTTCAAAAAGTATCTTCGTTTTCTATAGATAAATGTTGTAATTTCTTATGGCTTAAACAAACAATGACTCTATGCTTCACCATATAACAAACTATACTTTTAAATCATACTAAAAGAGCAATACTAAATCAGTATGTTCATATCAAAAGTCATCTTAGATCCAAAACCCACCCTGCTTTCAGCTTACTGTAAAGTCAGTGTCCACTTGTTCCCTTACTTACCTTCTCTTGCTTTTACAGCAATGATATCATTATGATGCAATCACTAGTACTCATAACAACATATTATGAACATTTATTGAGTCTTTATTACATACCACATAGGATGTCATGTGCATTATTTCACTAAGAGCCAATAACAGAGCTGAAAACTTGAAATCTGGAAGCTGAGAGCTGTGTAAGGTCACTCAGCTACAAGTGGCAGTAAGGGAAACCCCCACTCTATCTTCCACATAGCCCACCCCCTTACTCTGTGCACTAAGTAACCCCAGAGTAAAACCTCATTTAAACAGCCTCTGAACCTTTAAAATCCTCAATAAATTAGACAGATTTAACTGCTTTTTGATTTTGCAAATAAAATATAGAACATCAGGAAAATATGTAACGATTCATTTTGCCATAATTCTACTTCTCTAATCAGTAAAGTTCACCTCACTGTACTGTCTCCTAATGAGAGGAAGTAAAATCTATTTGAACTTAGAAGACATTTTAACAAGGGGTGGAATCAAAAGGAGTTTCACATTACTAAATCTCAGTAAGCTAGGAAATCCAATTAACTATAATAGCCTACTTGCCAACATTGTAGTTAATCCAAATTTTCCTGATTGTCGATCAAAACCCTGAAATTATTTAAACATAAGAAATTTTTATAATATCACCCTTGGTTTCTTACTGAGACTCAATTGCAATGAATTATTTAACACAAAATTGGAAGGGCTCCAACAGAGTCATTAGCATTAGTAAATATACAGTTAATGTGTTTTAGAACAGGGTTTAATGGACTCCAGAGCCCACCTCTGCCAGGGTTTGGGTCTCTGACTGAAACACCCTCCTTAATAATGCACACAAGCTCAACACCTAGCTCACACTCCTCTTGGTGACCAACTTCTTTTGAATATAGGAGCTCTTCATATGCATCTCTAACTCCTAAGAGTGAGACTGCAAATATCCAACAAATGCAATAAATAAAACTAAATAGGACTAAATATGGATTTCACACCATAATTTGGCAGTCACCTTGGAGAAGATTTTGCATACCAATATGAAATTTTAAGTTAAAAAAAAGTTAGGCTAAATATTGATCCATGTCTTCTCTGACTTTAAGAAAGTTTGCATATTCTATGCTGCACTAATTATTTTTTAATGAACGGATGTAAGGATAACTATAATATTCATGCAGTTTTATTTTAAGGAATTAAGCACCATTCTGCTTAATTTCCATTAACACCTTCATTAACATGGATGACAGGTTAAACAAATGAAACAAAGGCTAAAAGCCACATCAGGACTCGAGGGGTTATTTTTAGTGTCTGGAAGATTTTCTCGCTGAGAACAGTTACCTGGATAAATAAAAGTTAAGCGGTTAAGGAGGCGGCTACCGTCTTCAGGTTGAAAGGGGAAGGTTTCTCTGGCCAACCCCAGAAATCTAACAAGCTCATCCTACGTGACACTGTTGTCACCCTGCCACAGTGTTGTGTGCCATGGATTTATTCTGAAATGTTCCTAAATATTTCTAGGTCGTGTTTTATTTGCCGGGCATTGGGCGGGCTGGTTTAAAGACAATAGCTCCAGAGCTCTAGGGGTCAAAGTTCGGTGACTTATTCCTAAAGGTCGACCCAAGTTCGCAGCACGCGTTTCTCTGCAGCCATGGGAAGCCCAGAGCCCTCAGGACAGAACGCGCGACTCTCGTTTTCGAGGACCCGAAGTCCTGAACAAAAGGTCCCAAGGTGTTTGTCCCACTTCTCTTCAGCTGGATGTGTTGAACAATACCAAGGCTCCCCTCAACGCTTCGACCATTTTCAAAGCTCAATGATCGACTGAACACCGAACACCGAAGCCTGCGCGCAAAAAATAACAAGTGACCGAGGCGGCCGCCTGGCCCGGAGCGCAGCCGGGTCTGGGGCGTCCCCAGGTCGCTCCCCCTCAGGCGCGAGAGCCCGCGCGCTAGCGGCACGGCGCGGGGACCCACACCGCAGGGCTCGAACCGTCCACCAGCGAACCCCCGGGTGCCGAGGGAGAGGGGTGTCCGCCGCTCCTTCCCGCCGTCGCCCACCCCCGGGTCGGGACACGGTCGCCGCCGCCCTCCGCGCGCCGCGCAGCCCCCGCCCGCCCCGGCGGCCGCCGCATCGCCAGTGCCAGGCGCGCGGGGCCGAGGGCGCGGGGGCGGCGCGCCACTCACCGATGCGGCTGAAACTCTCCGACAAAGTTCTCCGCAACTTCTTCATCTTGCCGATCTTCTCGGCCGGCTGCGGCTCAATGAGGTCGCACATCTGGGCGACGCCGGGCCCCGTCAACTTCCCCAAACTGGTCCAGAGCGGAGCGCAGACAACGGCGAGGGCGCGCGGCGCGGGGAAGGCGGCGCCTCCTCCTGCTCCGCCACCGCCTCCTCCTCGGGCGGGAGGCGACGCGCGGGGCTCGGGCGGCGAACTGCAGGCTCCGCTCCGGCCTGGGCCTGGGCTGGGCGGGGGGGCGTTCTACGTGGTGCCGGGGGCGGCGGCGATCGCAGCCGCCTCGGGGGCCCCGCGCCGCGCCGCCGCCGCCCGGCGCATTTTCCCTCCTTTGTAGCGGAGAAGCGCGGCCGGAGGCCGGCGGGGCGGGCGGCGCGGCTGGAGGCGGGGGCGGGCGGGCGGGCCGGGGAGAAGGTGCGGGAGCCGCGGGGCGCCCGGGGCGCGGGCCGCGGGCGGGAGTTCTCAGCCCCGAGTTTCGGGCGCTCGGGAGAAAGACGGGGCGCGGAACGGCCGCCCGCCCCGCCCTCGCGGCCCCTCCCGCCGCGCCGCCCCGCCTTCCCCTCGGCGGAGGCACCCCCGGGCGCGGGCCCCCGGCGCTACCTCGCCTCACGGTTTGGAGCCCGCGTACTCCGCTGCCCTCCCGACCCGGCTCGTCCCCCCCGCCCCCCCAAAACCACACACACAGACACACAGCCGGCGCCCCCTCCTGGCCGCCTCCGCGCTCCTCCCGGGGCCTGCCCGCCCCGCCCGCGCGCTCTGGGAGGAACCCGAAGCCGCAGCGGTAGCAGCCGGCCACCTCGGGGGACCCCGCTTCGGGTTGTGGGGAGGTCGCCAAAAGGCACTGGGGGCAAAAGGCGCCAAGAGGCACCGGGGGCAGCCGGTTGATCTGAATGTTCTTCCCTCGGCCCAGGCGGGTGGGAGAGCGAGCGAGCGGCTGAGCGGGCGAGGCGGCCCCGCGCTGCCTCCGGGTCTGCAGTGGAAAGGCCTCGTGGACGCACCGGCTCGAGGGGGACTCTTGTGCTCAGTTTTGGCAAAGAAGCTGCAAAGTGAAAGATTCAAAGGAAAGGCGGGCGGGTTTCTTAGGATCGCGAAGTGCAGCTTCAACTGTAACCCCTGGGAAGGCAGGGCTGGTGCTGTTTCCTTCATCTGGGTCTCTGACACTGAGTGACAGATGGGAGGGTAGACATAGCTGGTGGCTGGTGTAAATACTCAGTTCTACAGTAGACAGCAAACAGAAGTCTTTATTCTATTTCCCATGTATATATAAAATTTGCAGACTTTAAAGGCCAAAAATATTTATACCTCTTGCCCCCCCAAAAAATATATATGAACCTTAAAACGGGGGCGGGGGGGGGGGAGGTTCGCTTTATAAAATCCCAGGACAGCAAGCACACGTGCTCTTCGTCAGAAAACGAAGTGTAGGGAGCCCTCTAAACGTCAGTCTCCCCGGGGAGAGAGAGGGGATATGGGGGAGGCCTTGAATGTGTTGATTTGCGGCCAGCGAACTCCTTATGAATAGAAATGTTAGTAATCTTGAGTCATCTGGCTGTGTAAGTAATAAGAGCTTCTGAGCGTGTGACAATGCAGTTCGGTTTAAAGGAAGTTTTGGGGAGTTTGTATTTTGTTAAAAGATTTTTATCTTAAAACAATAACTAGCCCCCTGCCTTCCTTAAATTGTGAGGTAGAACACTTTGATTTGTTCTGCCCTGCACTAACCACATTATAGAGTCTTGATAGATTGCAGCTGATAAAAGACAGGAAGTCAAACCAAGTGGGGAGCAGAGGAGGGTGGAGAATTCCTCAAGAAAGTGATTGTGAGTTAAAAGGCAAGGATGTTGGGTACTGGTGACTCTATTACAGACATCACTAAGAATGAGCTCAGAAGGGAAAAGTTAGACTTTTCACCACTTCCTCAGGTTAGGTAGGGAGAAAGTTATCAGCAACTATGAATGAAAAGACAAAGGCAACCCATTGAAATAGTTTGAGTTCTAGCTACTCGTCAGCAAAGATGAAGAAGTAGTCATTAATTTAATAAAATTTTATTGTTATATGTTAGTAGCTGTCTTATTATTTGTTCTGATAATGCCATTTCAAATATTCGGATGTCTATGTTTTACTTACCCAACATTTGTCACTTTTAAAAAAAATCAACTTCAGCTTAAATACTATATGCCTACACAAGTACAGTAGTTAACTTTTTAAAAACATTGTGTTGCAATGCAGTGTAACTTCCATTTCTAAAGAAAGAAATCAGGATTTTGGTTACTTTTGATTGGATAGTAACTGGTTACTTCTCTGTGTTTAGTTTGAAAATTATATACTTAAGTTTTGCAACTTGAAAAATAAATAAGTCAGAGATAGATCAAGTAAGTACTAATATATAGATATATCTAAAGTGAGAAAAGCATGTCAACATGAAACTAGTTGTGGAAAAAAATACACATATATATGCTTCTATATGCTTATAACATTTCTGAGTAAAAAGAACACAAACTATTAAGTCTGTGTACTCAGAATAGGATGAATGTTTCCTTTGCACTTGATACTTTTAACTTTTAACTTTTAATTTGAATACCCCCAAAATGCAATACTTTTATAACAAAAAAATACTAATTAAAATATTTAAATGTTTACTTCCTTTTTCCTCTATATGCCAGTCTAAAACTTGAATTTTCCCACTTCTGAAAAAAAAAATTCACCCAATTAAGGCAGTGTGTCAGAAGAAAGTTATTGGTAATGGACCAAAAAAATAAACTCTTACTACAGTTATTTGTTTCATGTTTGCCTTCATCTTAGATTGAAAGTTCCCTGAGGGCAGGAACTCGGGTATGAAAAGCACAACGTTTATTACATTTTGGACATAAACTGTCAAATGAATATAGGATATATTGCTGTCATTGAGAAATGACTCCTCAAAAACAAAGGTGACTGTCCAGCATCTGTGTGGCAGATGTATTTTCCATGGAGCATGAATCTATGCCAGTTCTCCATCTAAACTTCTGGTTTACAAGGTTACAGTTTTAGCTGACCTGAATTAAAGGTACAGTGTCTGAATATAATCAAATGAGCTTACCTAGGAGGTGAACCCAGCATGGGTGGACTTTAATCAAATTAATCAATGAAGCATGCATTGTGTATGAGACCTGGAATAGTAGCAACATTGGCTTGGAGATTCAGAATTTATGGATTCTAGTCCCTATTCTATCACTGTGTTGGATGACTTTGCACAGTAAATGACTTACCCACTCCCTTATACATGAGGGACCTAAACTAAATAACCTACAAGGTCATGAATAGCTACAAAATTCTAACTCTAATGATGAAATTTTCTTCTCCAAGCTTCTGTACTAAAAGGTAGATACATTAATTTACAAATAAGATGGAGATAAAGATCATGACAAAAATTAAATGCAAGGTACATTATTTCTAGTCACTTTATAACATGTACTTTGATTATAAATGGATTTTGTGCATATAAGAAAAATACCTGGCAGTCAATTTTAAGAGAATGAACCTTAATCCAAATTGGATGACGTATAGTGAATTTAATTAGACCCTGAAGTGCCCCAAAAGCAGAAGCAGATATTCTGCCCTTTAATAGTATAAAAGGATATTATCAGAAAAAAATGAAGTCCATGACATAAGGATGCTAAAGATATATAGAATAGAGTTGCAAAGTGAAATTAAAGAGAAAAAAATACATGTTTGTTAATATAAAATTTTAGAATTTAGCCAAAGACAGTTAAAGTTTAAGGATGCGATTAAAGTGGTACACATTTACATCATTAAATATCCTCTTAGAACTATAAAAAAAATTACCCTAGTTAATTATTTTTAGCATCAAATATTAGCCTCTTTCTTGGAACACTTCCAGAAACTGAAGTAGTACAGGGTGAAATCCTCTATACCTAGTTCCCAGAGAATCATCCAAAATGCAATAGTAGCCACATTATCTACTGTTTTGGTATCCAAAATTCCTGTCACTGACTTTTACATTCCAACTGTAGGATAATATCCAGTTTTAAGGATTCCTTTGTTTGTTTGTTTGTTTGTTTGTTTGTTTGTTTGTTTGTTTGTTTTAACAAGGAACAAATTAAAACCAAAAAGGGGAAGAAAATGGGAAGTTGCAGAAACTAGTGTATTTACACTTAAGTAAATGGAGATACCCCAGTTCTTCCCCTCCCCATCTGATCTCCTGCTTGGGCTCATCACTCTTAATTTGAATCCCTTCACATGTTTGCCTGATTATATTTGCTTAATTGTTTTATAGGAAATTTTTCTTTTTATTTTTCTACTTATTTTTTAAGATTTATTTATACATGAATACAAGAGCTGGGGTGCAGGCCAGAGATGGGGGAGTGGGGTGAAAGGATTCATCAGAGACAGAGTGGGGAGCAGTACATGCAGATCCACCGAAAATACACAGCTGAGGGGAGCAGCGGGCAAGACAGGAGAGTCTATGCTGTGCTGTGTGGGCCAGCTCCCTGGCCAAGGATCAAACTTGTGCTGCAGTAGCTGCTGATAGCTTCATAGTGCTGCGACTTAACCCCCTGTGCCACCAGGAAGGCTCATCATATATTTCAAGAGTCCCCCAGCCCCAAGTAAATTGATCCATTTGCAAATGACCACAGAAAGAATGAAGACGTTACAAAAATAACAAAGAAAATAAACTAGCTGCCTAGAAATACTGGTAAATCCCCCCTCCTTGTTTCACCATGTGTAAGTATTATAATTGCTAATCATTTGTGGTTTTCATTGTTAAAATAGAAATCTATATAAGAAAATATTGACCACCATTTCTAAGATACAATGCACTTAATTATACTCTTTGGTGCTATTTTTGTATGTGATATAGATGTGTCATTAAATAAGAGTCCTCATTTATGATTGTCATCAACTTCAACACATCTTGTTGTATTCATCAGAATTTAACTTCAGGGGCAGATCCTATAATTGAACTCTGGACATGAATGTGAAAGTGGTCAAGAGCTAATATATATATATATATATATATATATTTTAAGATTTATTTATTTAGTTATTTATACAAGCACTGGGTACAGTCAGAAGCGCGGGAGGGTGAGAGAATTCACCAGAGCCAGAGCGGGGAGCAGAGCAGGCAGAAGGACCTAA